ATAAAATTATTTGCAATTTCTATAATGGTATCGTTACTCCAAGGCAGATGCATATTACTCGGACAAAAACTCAAAAACTGTTCATGCATAGAAATACTCATTATGTATCACCTTACAATTTCTATTTCATTCTCTCGTCATACTCAATGCACACTCACTTTATGAGAAATTTAGCATAATTTACGTTATGAAAGTGTTCAGCAATATCCACCTCAATGCCAGCTTACTGCTGTCTCAGATGCAGGGTTGAACAAGAGGTCAAGAGTCAAGAAACCTTCTGAGTTGTGCCTCACTACCCTCCCTGATGTCATACACCTAGTGTAAGCACTGTGAAAAAGCCATAGCAAGCATGCTGGATATCATTTTCGTATTCAGCATGTCAAATAAACTTGTTCACCAAGCTTTGGCGAATTCTGATGCCCCAAAAATTGGGCTATTAAGGTAAACAGTCATTTTCAAACACGGGTAACTCGTTTTGAAAGATGAGTTTGTTTATTTTGCACTCACTCTAAAGCACTATTTTCTTCTTAGTCCCATTAAGCATCCGTCACACCTCAAGGGATTCCGCCAAATCGCGGTCGCCGCGTGATCTGGCATCTTCCAGATTTTAGCAGAGCCACTGTGCGTGGAGTTCAAATGCACATGCGCGTAGCTTCTGTAAGTTCCAGCGAGCTTTTCCAGTCTTGCCTCCATAGAATGCGCCTACGAGGAATGATGAAGAATCACCGCAGTGTCGGATCGCGCAACGACCGAAATCGCAACCGAGGTCTTAGGCCGTGGGCATACCTCACGCAATTCGAGTTGCTACGCGAGCTGGCAATTCGCTTGATATCTTCAAATTCAATATTGGCAGACCCCATTGCACCACAGATGAGTTACTTGGCCAAATTTTTCTCCCTCACAAAAATGCTGGATTATGGCAAAAGCCCAAAAAGATGCGGCTACAACACCTTTTACCCGCTTGTGTCAAACCCCCTGAATTTCATAACAGAAGAACTTTTAGCAAGCAATGAAATGTCACTTGATAGCTTGAACTTTGAAGTTTCAATGACTTTGAGCTTGATTTGCTCTAATTTTCAATTACATTTGCATAAAAATAATAACCGAAAATGGAATTTGGAGTTTTGACTAAACTAATTCTACTGCTTGCGGTCATTTTGAGCGGAATTACCAGTCTAGATAACAAGAAGCAGTGCTATGAACTTCTGAACTAACAAGGAACCTTTCTGTGCAAAATTTGCATGCTACACAACATAGAAAGACTGCCTGTAAAGCGGAGCAACCCGAAAAAGCTTGGGATATCAAAGAAAACTTCAATTTTTGTTACTAATAGAGAATTCAACGCGATGTGCCAACATTCAGATGATAATACCGTAATACCAGTGAATAGGTAAACATACAAATTTTGCATTGCAAATCAATAAGTCATTTCTGTATGTGTCGTAGCCAGGAATGGCTTGATTGGGATCAGCTTTCAAGCTGATTTAGTATGTTATATCCAGGGTTGAGCGTGAGGTCAGGCGCGACCGACCTGGGGGTCGTATTGGTGGTAAGACTGAGGGAGGGGGGGGGGAGTTGTAATAAAGAATCGAATTCGCTCAAAACTAAAGATATACTACGATCGAGTAAGGTGAAGAAGAAAAGCTTCAAACCGATGCTTATCATAGCTTCAATGGAATTAAAGAAATGACTCTCGTGACCAGCATATTGATTGACTCATCGAAGTTTTATCCAAATTCCAATTCTCCATCCCTTACCTGACACTACTAAGGTCATCAAAGAAGCTTGCTATGAAAATTGAGCATAGTTTCCGTAATTAGCATATCAAATCACCTCTACTAGCAATACAGACCATCATCCATTACATTTTCTAGCATTTTCTATCGTCTAAAAAGCCTAAAACTTGATTAACTTGGTTTCAAAAGTGAAAGAAGTTACAAGGGAAGGTATATGACTCGCAGTGGAGTTTCCCTGTGAGATGTATATCATTCGAAAGGCCTTGATTGCTGATTTCGAAACAATCTTCCTTATCTGTTTATCGGTTTACTGAACAAAGTTACAGGCAATTTTCCGCCTCCAGTTTGCATGGTCAAATACTGTGTAAATAATCTGAATTCGTAATAAATGCGAATTTGGTCCAAATTTAGACGCCCAAATGTCTGAGATATACAGGGCTCAGCACAGCTGGCACCGGGTCAAGCTGGATATCGTTTTTAGGGCGGAAAGCAAAGGGGATATCGTTTCTACAGGGGCCGAGGCGGAGAACTGCCGCAAAAATGCCGCCAGCATGCCACCGGTATGCCATTGGTAAGCTGTCCATCAACAAACAAACGCGTTGTTTTCAGCCAAAACGCAATTGTATGACACCAAATTTGGTGTGTGCATGCGCGTTGGTGGACCGGAACTAGGGGCCAAAAATAAAACTTATGTGAATGAAAGCTGTGCCGAACTTTTTTCTGAATTAGCTGGCACCGTGCCAGCTGGGTGCCAGCTGAGCTGGCACCGACACTTTGCTCACATAAGTTTTCATACTTTTTTACATAAAATGTATCTACGCTGTAGATGATTACATACGGAGAAGAAACCGTCTCATAATGTTCTCTTTTCAGCGTTTTATAGCAATTTGAAAATCACTCGGTCCGCTCCGCAGTCGAAAAATCGGCTTTTTCTGCTTCTCAAGATGTGATTCAACCACTTAAAAAGCTCAGAAAGCTGTGAAAAGTTCTTTAATGAAATCAAAAATGCATGAAAACACTACTACATTTTTTAATAATATAAAAATGATGTTTGTGGGTTTTCAAAACAGGTCAAAAGGGACTTCGTACGAAATTTTCAATATCAAACGGGACTTCGTTTTGAAATTTCCCTGGTGCCAGCTCGTGCCGAGCCGTGGAGATATATTTAATGTACATATAAAATTGATGAGAATAATTTTGGAGCTACTCTGCTGCGTTAGTCCTGCAAAAAGCAATTAAAATTCGTGTCATTTGAAGCCAAACAAATGCCTGCAACTTTGTTCAATAAACCGATAAGCAAATAAGGAAGTTTGTTCCGAAATCAGCACTCAAAAACCACTCGAATGACACGCATCTTAGAGGGAAACTCTACTGCGAGTCATATACCTTCCCTGTTCAGCTTTTTTATACTCATAACAAAGTAATGTTCCCTACCAGTCTATACTAGAAATTAGAATTCATATCGCTTTCGAATAGTGGATTAGGAAGTACTGCCAATATTCCAAACATCGCGTTTTTCACCTCGAGCGCGTCAACACCGCGGATTACCACAAAGCCGAAACAAGTCGGGCTGAG